GGGGGGTATAGAACAATATGCAAAGTAACATAAAATCATAATTCAGAAAAATTGAAATAGAAATATACAGTTTCGAAGTTGTATAGCCGACTAGGCAAATATGGTTTCACACATTTTACTACGTTTTCGTACAGTACTTTAAATATTAACAGCTTACCTGAACAGATGTTGCAAAGTTACGTCTGTTTATACGAGAACCACGACTATAAAATATTGGTCTTAATACATTTTTAATAAATATCCCAGCTCTATTCAATATCATATTGATCCAGATTTGCAATAAATCACTTCAACAAGTCTATAATATCATTATTTTGACAAAATCACGATTTACTAGGATGTATATCCAGAGATTTTTAAATGATTTTATGATTTTTGTCTATATAAATGTCTATATTTTGAAGGAAGGGGCATAGAAGGGGGGAGGGGGATAAAAACTGTCCCAGAAAGCCTAGCGACTTCAAATACAAAACAAATCAGATTTCGTGACTTCCTTCCACTGCTTCCTTCGCTCTTTTTAATCCTTTGGCCTTCATTTAGAGCAGAGAAGGGGAATTTGGATCCTTCGAAATCCGTAAAAATGATTATTTATAAAGACCGTATATCTGGTAAGATGTGTTCTTTAAACATTTGTTTACCTATGTCAGATGTTTTTAAACATATTTACCGAAATGCTCTGAATTTTTTATACTTATAGTTAAAATTTCGCATTATATCAATTTGTTTATATCAATTTTATTTATTACGTGTGTCAAGTTTGTTGTCGTTTTTTAACTTATCGTCAGTTCACACATATAAATTAATACGTATATAAATCGTAATAACGTAATAATTTTTAATATGTAAAAACCCAATATATAATCAAAAACAAAAAGTTTTAAAATTTTATAAATATTTTAATAGGGTTTTATATTTTAATAGGGGTTCTATTCCATTAATTTCCATGTTTGTCAAAGTTTGGTTTTGGACACCAAACTGTGAATGACTTGTGTCCCAGACTGGATGTTACAAATTTTCAAACATTTGCTGAATCTGCTGAAATGTGTTTGGTGGTCTCCCAATAGATTTAAATACTATGAGTCTGCCTTCTGAAATTAACCAGCCTTTGATTTTTTTGTTAATCATACAGTACCGCTCGCATATATCTTAACATATGATACACCCATATCATACGAATACGCGTATCATACGAATTTGCACATATACGAATTTGCGTATCATACGAACACACGTATCATATGAATACGCATATTATATGAATATGTGTATCATTCAAATACGCATTACTAACAAATGTTAGGGCGCTATAAAACATGTGTTTTATGCAAAACGCATATCATATGTGTGTATCATAATTCGTGTATTAATTCCGATACAGGTATACTGTGTATATACGCGCACAAAATTAATGCTATTATTATACATGCGAGTATTCAGAATGGGATACTAGAGTAGAACTCTGAATCCTGGTATTCCATTGGGTTAGGCTGTTGCGGTATTTGAAAAAAAAAACGAAAACCGATACCGGAAAAAAAATACCGATAATACCGATATATCTGTATTTTTTCGCGATTGTATTTTGCTTAAATTAATGCAAAATTTGTTTAATTTAATGCAAAATTTTCTGTTTTAGACCCTGTCAGAATCAGAATTTGTTAATTTTAACCCATTAATTTGTAAGTTAGCCTGTGTATAGCCCATAGATTAGTCTTTCCAAAGTCCTTTCCAGACCCTTCTATGGCGCGCTTCACTTCCGCTGTGGAAAGGACTTTTGTCACTTGCAGCGCGCCAAATATCACCGGTGGAAAAATCCACCGGTGACGTCATTGTTAACATTGAAGGCTGAAGCGGTTTCCACTATTAAATATTATACCTCTCAGGCTTTTTATTGAAAAAATGTGTATTATAGAAGCAAATAGAATGAACAATGTAAATACAAATTTGTAGAACACAAAAAGCATGAGAAAATACATTGAACAAACGTTACATTGAGTGTAAACGGTGTAGTAATAATTAAACTTTAATACTGTCACCAAAGATACATCTGATGATTCTAGAATTTCCTCACTTGTTTCGGGTTTAGTTTGGGTTTCTTGATCTCGATTACTGATTATTACTGCATTTTGAACTTTAGCGACATTATTTTTCATGCCAAATTTTTTAATGCGATTTAAATTCCTGCCAGCGACACAAGTCGACCACTCGCGACTTCGTCGCTCGGGTGGCACGCACCCGTTCCCTCCCTCCCTCCCCCCCCCATGGTCGACTTGTGGCAAGTCTACCCATAGATATATCTATGGTACAGTCGTTACTCTCGACGAAACGCGCGAGAGAACGTCTGTGAGTTGGATGCATAATCCTTGTTCGGGTCACATGGATAGTTCCCAGATTTGGGGACCGGCCTCTGATTGGACAGTGCTTATTTGAATAATTTATGACAAATGAAGCTATTTCATTGGTTAAGTGATAATTAGCATGCATTTAAAATAACAACACAAAAATTTTAAAATTCCAGATCAAGAATCAAGATTTCCTTCGGGGCATACACAGGTTTGAAAGACTTGAAATACAATCTGAAAAACGATACACCAGAAATATATTGCATATATTTCTCGATGAAGAGATTTGTTTTGAGTACGAACAATGCTGAACGATGATCATTATTCATTGCCAGCAAGTCCGGTGTATTTACAAAGACAAAGTATTAAATATAAACACAACTGGTTATTCAAAAGGTGCATTTTAAAGTAATTAAAAGTTAACTGGCCAAGTAAGACGAAGTACACATTACATGTAAAGAAAATGCTTTATCGTGAGGGGTCGGGACATATAAACAGATTGTCAATTTAATAAATTGTCAATTATAAATTGTCAATTTCCATCTGATAGTTTGTTGTATTTTATATATTTGTCAGCATTATTCGCTGAGTGTCCAAACACTAGAATTTTATCTTTGTCTTTGTAAATACACCGGACTTGCTGGCAATGAATAATGATCGTTAATTAAGCATTGTTCGCACTCAAAACAAATCTCTTCATCGAGAAATTTAAACTTTGATACAGCACAAAATTAAGCTCAACAGATTATATTTCTAGTCTTTCAAACCTTTGTATGCCCCGAAAGAATTCTTGATCTGGAATTTTAAAATTTTTGTGTTGTTATTTTAAATGCATGCTAATTATCAATTAATTAACCAATGAAATAGCTTCATTTGTCATAAATTATTCAAATAAGCACTGTCCAATCAGAGGCCGGTACCCAAATCTGGGAACTATCCATGTGACCTGAACAAGGATTATGCATCCAACTCACAGACGTTCTCTTGTGCGTTTCGTTGAGAGTAACGGCTGTACACAGGCTACTTGTAAGTCTGTATTGCACTCCAATGCACCCGACTTTACTATTTTAATCTTCCTAACCCCAGACAAATGTATTTGTCAAGGGAGTGTAGTTGTACTTAATATAGGGGCCGATCGACCCTGAATTTTCTGCATATTACATTTTGCTGTTACCATGTTACCACCAGCAAATCTTCCAAGCCCATACTACAATACTAACTATGCCCAACATGTCTTGGACTGATGGGTTTAAAGTGGGACTAAGGTTTGTTTTGATTCCAAGTTTTGAGTTGCTATCTGAATGATTATCTTTTAGAAAACTGTGCTTTATGTACTAAATGAGTCTGCCCTAGCTTATTACCGTAAGTGCAGGGTAAATAATTATAATGTTGGAGTACCATTCTAGAGAGGTACAACTAAAAATCTTGAATTATCACATCCTGTTGGAATATAATCTCCTAAGGCCATAAATTACCAATTGAGGTGCAGAGAACACCTTTCATCATTTATAAACTGTGTGTATTGTTATTTATTGGTTAATTAACATCAATTGGAGTATCTTTCCAATAGACCTTTCTCATAATGACTTCAAATGCGAATAAATGCTTAGGCTCCCACTTTTCCTGTAAAGGCAATGTGAAGCGAAATAACTTTGAACAACATTTTGCTAAAAATTGACCCATCCCCGTTTTGACATAACCAGAAGCTATATTGCAATTGGCGGAAAATTGAAAACCCCATCCATGTGTACTAAGGCATAAAAAAAAACCCTGTGGTTCCGGTTCCCGACCGACCCTATTTTTTTCTGCCGACCCTATTATTTTTTCAACGTAATTGACCGTGCGACCCTATTTTCTCTGGGTGGTTGCGGGCTGCTGCCAAAATGGTGTCTGTTGTCACTAATTATTGAAAAAAAATATTAAAAAAAAAAAAATTTCCGACCTACCAACCCTAATTTTTTCGTGATATGAAACCGGAACCACAGGTATTTTTTTACGCCTAATTATAGAGCATTTATTTTTCAACATTTGGTGTAAATTTGAGGTTGTAAATTGTATAGTGCTTGTTAGTCTGCTGCATAGGATGTTCTGTTATTGCAACAGAGTATCTAAATATAAATTGTTTGGCATTGGGCACATAATAGACTACG